ACACACACACACACACACACACTTGATTAAAACACACAGAATAAACAGAATCAGGAGTAAACAAACACAAAACCACAGGTGGACCTCACAAACAGATGGCACACAGCAGCGAGCACAAATGCAGGGGTTTCTCGCGTGCATGTGCTCGTACTGTATGTGTGCACGTGTAGGTGCATGCACACGCACGAATACGCAGTATTTATGTTTTGCCAAGCACATTCACGTCCATTTATGTGCGATGAGTGTAGCTCGCGTGTTGCCAGTGTTCTTCTATAAATAGCCCCGATTTTATTTATATGTTAGAGAGAGAGGAGAGAGAGGGCTATCAAACGAGTTGCCATAGCAACAGGCACATTCAGGGACATCATCCCTGCTTGTGGAACGAAGGATGAAGGCATGATAATGTAAGTCTCTATCTCTCTCTTTCTCCCCATCTCCATTCATCTCGTCTAAATTGCCTCATCTGGGTTACATCTCAATCGGAAAATATTAACACGCAGCATTTACACATCCGAAACCGCAGCAAGATGATTAATTACGTCTTGAAAACGCCAATATGTGTTGTCTTGATCTTTTCCCTCTTGTTCATCACATCAATTGACTTTTCTCACAATCCATCACCCCCATTCCCTCTCCCCTCTTCTTTTTCTTTGCAGCCTCTTACACTGACTCCTCTTCTTCTTTGTTTTTAGGCAGTTGGAAACTAATATCAAGGTCCATCACCGCCGTCTACTGTATCTCTTATTGCTCCTGATAACTGAAAGCTTCTCCTTCTTCTGGGTTCGGTCTAATGGCGAGTGGTCACCTACTGTGTTGGTTAAAAAAGACACCGTCTGTGAAGTCGGAGGGAGGAAGAACCCGATTGGCTGATTGAATCATTCATTCATCCTCCCTGAGCTGGGCACAGAAAATCTACGTGTTATGGTCGATACAAGTGTTTCTGAATGTTTGTGTCAATCTGTGACCTGGTTTGATGATGGCATACCGTGCACGCACACACACATCCATTAGGAGGAGTTGAGCGAGAAGGGGAAATTCATAATGACCTGGGTAAACACCAAGTTGATGGCACCAGAGTAGTTAATTTTCACTGAGGGCCTCTTTGCATTAGTGGTCAACAGAGCGATCCATCGCAAACACCACTGTGGCTCTTCAGATAATGGACACACACGCACACACACACACACACACAGATCTGAAATGCTTATCCTCAATATATGGTGGGTCAAAGATAAACATGATTAGTGTATTAATTGATTAGTCAATGAACAGGAAATTAATCCTTAATCTTTAATCCCATGTAAACAAAGAAAATATAACAATTAGCTTTGATTTGATTTTCAGTTTCTGACAAACTAAGCAGCCGTTTTTTTTTGTTGTGGTGGTGACTCTTTGTATCTGACCCCAGAGCCGAAGTTTAGGAACCGCTGTGGAGGATAATCCCACCGCACGGGTCACCGGACCTGACTCGCAGGTACACGCTGCATTTACTGAACCTTGAAACAACATCCTGCATGAAGTCCCCTTTCGAAACACCGTTTTTGCCCCAATGTGTGTGTCAGAGAAATCAACAAGCAAAGTGTGTGCAGGAAGAAAGAAACGTCCAAGCAGCCTCAGTGTACAATGGTACAGAAATGTTTTATTGCGAATGAAATACATTAAGATATTAAATTATCAGTGTTTGGTGTTTTTTTGGAGTCTGACCACGTCAGACATGTATGTAACACGGCAGTTAATAAAGCTGAAACACTGACTGCACCCTCCTTGAATGTGTCGTGTCGCCTCAGTAGTATGTCTCCTGTTCAACCCAACCTAGAAACCAAAGGGGACAGAATTAGGGATAGTTTGTTTTTGTTGGATTTTTCACGTCACATTTGGGCTCTAAATTCAAAAAGTCTTCAATTTTGCACTCAGGCCACGGGGGTGACATCATCCCTTATGTTGCCTGACAGCCATTCCAAGATATCAGAGCAGATTGGAGAGCGTGAGCAAGTCACTTCCAGAAATTTGGAGCAAACGCTGCCTAACAGTTGCTCATAAAATGATGATATCATCCTTGAGGCCTTATATAAACTCCCAGAGAAAAGGCTAAACATCAATGTGTTGGTTCCTGTATCATTAACTGTACAGACACTTCATTAATTCTATTAGGAGTCACTGTGGTTCCAGTGTGTGGAAGCTAAAATAATGTGATTTAGCAGGTTGTTCCTCTACCCTAAAGCTACGTTTTATTTTAAAGGATTCAACACTGAGGGCAAAAAAAATACTGGGCTTGAGTCCTGGTGAGGAAATTCAATGAGCGCAGGGTTAAAAATAATCAGTTAGCTCTGGGCCCCACAGAGGAAAAATATCACTTTCTCAAATTTAGTTTTGACTAAAATAAAAAGCTTTAAACTGTAAAATCTCTTTCATAAAATATGGAAGCTGTTTGAAACTGTCAGTAGAGCTTGTTTTCTGTGTCTGACTGTAACACATTATTCACCATGGATAGGCAATGAGGTGTTCACTGATCTGTGCTGTGGGGCTCAGATGTAGCGCGCGCGCACACACACACACACACACACACACACACACACACACACACACACACACACACACACACACACACACACACACACAC